AAACGATCTTGTCTTGGGCGCGAATTTCCCAGAGAAGCCGGAGCTGAGCGAAATTTCTGGGTGGCGCGCGCGGCCATAATTGGGACGATTAAACGCGTCCTCCCGGGCGCGCTGGTTAATTGGACGAGTCGGTTCGAAAGTGCTGCCGTATCAGCCGGCGATTTCGTTTTATATCACCGGAAACTATGACCGGTGAAATCAACGCCGGGGCCGCCAGTAGTTAAGCGCCAATGCTTAATTAAACGTTAATCTGGCGCGCGCGCGCGACGTCGAACGAACGAACGAACGAACGAACGAAAGTGGCGGTACGTCGGGAATGGTGGTAGCTAGGTTGGGACTAGCGAAGAGGAACGCGCAAGGGCAGAGACGGGGCCGAGACGCGGGGGTGTGTGTAGCCGAAGCGAAATTAAGGCTCGCCGGTTGATTCGAATTCTCCTTGAGAAATTTCCTTTCCCCGAGAACGCCCTTCGTGCGCTCTCTAGTAGTTACTAAACTGGTCGTCTCAATTAGCGAAACTTGCAGCTACGTTACCGACTTCCAATTAGTCATAGGTTGCAAACTGTATCGCGCTTACTGGAGCGAGACTAATAACTTCTAGACCATGAAATATATGCATAGATACACGATGCAAATTAGTGGTACACGGCCGGGCGGACGTTTATGAAATACTTATGCCGAGGAAAAAATTTTCGGCCCCGCGTTGAATTAATGCCACTCGCTCGCCAAGTGATATCACAAGTCTCAATTAAGTGTACATACATGTATTTTCCTTTGCCCCGTCTCCGTCTTTTCCTCCTCTCACGAGCAAAGATTCGAGTAAACGCGCGCGCGATACAGAGCTTCTCCCGCGTGAAGGTTCAACGTTCCAAGACGCGAGACGAAACGAAACGAAACAACGAACGTATGTACGTACGTACGTACGCGCGTCTCCGGGATCCGGGAGAGCACGTTCGCGTGTTAGATCGAGTCGGTGCAAGTCGGTGGCGGTAGGTGCGCGTGCCCGACACATAGCCACACGTATTCACCGACGACCGTCGATCCTCGGCGAATTTACGAAGGCCCTTGTCGCGCGGCTGATAATTACAGGCCTGGTCTCAATTAGTAGAACTTACGTCGCTAGGGTCCAATTAGACGTAGGCTAGAAGCTACACCCTGTTTGCTCAAGTTTGCCGTACCTATGCACCACCGTCCGTCGGATGGGGTTGCTGACTGCCCGTCCTGTACCTACCAAGCCTGTTGAAGGTGTCTTTTTCCTACGCTAATGACTAATTAGCAGCCTCTCCACTTCACAGTATAATGACACGGGATACAGCCTTGAGCCGTCGGCTGGGATCATTATTAAACCCCGAAATTGCAGTCGTGCCTGCCGCCTCGTGTTATGCACCGCCTCGTGCCCTGTACTTTGCCCTCTATCCTGCGCTCTATTCCCTGCCCTGTTCAACGATGCCGGCGCCCGCGTACGACGCACCATGCTCGCTCCTCTCGCTCGCTACCCATGCTACTACCGTAGGCTCGATCCACCGCTCGAAGGACACGCGGCAAGATGCGGAACGTGACTCGACGAGGACGAGGGTGCGTTCTGATTTCGCCTCCCCCTTCGTACGCAACTTTCTCCTTTCCCCTCTTTTTTGTCTCCCCTTCTTTCTCCTCTCATCTCTGTTCGTTTCCCATTTTTATTTTTCCCTCCAACTGTTGTACGTTAGGTATATATCTCTCTCTCTCTTTATTCGCTCCGGTATCTCTTCCAATCTCTTCCAGAGATTCGAGTATCACGGAATAAGAAGTACCTGAGAGATTACTCGTCTAATTGCTTCGACGTTAGACGAACTAGCGCCAGAGATCCGAACTGGCGCGCCAGACTATTCTTAATTAATGCCTATCGATATTCCTGCATCTGTACACGATCGGACAAGATCCGAAACGAGACCGGCGAATATTCAACTCTCGACTCTTCTCAATTAATTTCGCGCACGGCGAAACGCGTATATTTCGAGCCGTACGATAGTCCATCGGCAACCCTCGGGATATTACACCATGTTCCATTCTCTCTCGCTTATTATTATACAACGGACAAATTTCGTTTCGTTTTCTCCGGGATAATACCGTTTCCACGGTGGCCGCGCGGCCGGACCCCCCTCCGCACTACATCAAAACCGTTTCTTCTTCCTTCTTCCAACGCCGCTTCTTTTACATTTATTTATTTCCTAAACGTCCGTCCCCGCTGGCTACTTTATATTTGACATTTTTATTAAACCCAGCCGGTAGCGACCCGGTCCGTGTCCGTAGTTGCGACAGCGCGCGTATCTCAGGGAACGGCGAGCGTTTTGGGGCGAGCGGGGAGGGGGACGGTGGCACGAGGCGCACGACCTCCGCTCGCCATATCCCATATTGCTGTTAGGGTAGTTTCGTAATCTCGCGAGGGTGTCTCCCTCTATATCGAGCGAATAAAAAGTCGCATCCGCCGCTTATTCGTCGATGGTCGACGCGCGTCCGGCTTCCGACCCCTGCGTCGCGCGGGCTCGCTCCATTTCTCCGGCCCGTGCCCACGAAAAAGACAGTCGGCGCGGAAACGACGACATGGGATCCTGTATCGCGCGTGCAGGACCACCAGCACGCCGCCTATCCTACCCACCGCGTCACGCTTCATAAATCAACTTTTCACTTTACGATCCCGCGCGGTCACCCTTGCAGCCGTTTCTTCTTTTCTTTTCTTTTCCTTTCCTTTTTTCTTTTTTTTTTTCTTTTTTTTTTTGTCGCGCTAGAACAATTTTCACCGGTATCGAGGCATCCCGCGGAGAGTTTTCTCACCCCCTGGCGCGGTCAGTCGGTTGCCGATACACTCATTGTGCATTGTCGCGAAATAATGGGACGGCAAATTGACAGGATTAATTCGATTTTATCTAACGCATCATCGGGCCCAGAGTTTCGATAACGGATGCGCGTGACAGAATTGGATATTACGCGCGCCCGACAAATAAACGTACAGCCAGGAAAAGTTCGATCGGCACGCGTTGCCCGCTTTGCGCTCAGAGACTTCCGTACTATTGACGCTACTGGGGTGCACACGTATATCGCGATCGAGAGCAGATCGTGTATGGATCCATGATCGCGACATCAATCGAACAGAGAGAGAGAGAGAGAGAAAGAGAGAAAAAGAGAGAGTCGTAAGAAATTAGAGAAAGAAAGAAGCGAAAAAACCGAGAGGAACAGAGAGAAAGAGAGAGAGAGAGAGAGAGAGAGAGAGAGAGAGAGGGAAAAATAAATCCGGAGAAAAAAATGGAGCACACAGATCGTTTGACGAATCACGAGGCGCCTCTTGGATACCAGCGTAGGTGGAGCGCGCTAAGAGGGGGGGCCAAGGGGATACGCGGCAGAGGGATGATGTTTTTTTCCTCCGCGGCGCCTCTTTAATTTGCCCTCCAATTAACGGACGGGGTCCTATTTGAAAAATACCTGCCACGAGGACTGGCAATTATACTCCTTCCTTTTTCCTTTTTTTTTTTTTTTTTTTTTTTTTTTGCGCCACGAGCGCGTTATTAGCGCTATCCGTCGTTCCTCTTGCTCCTCCTTCTCCCTCATCTCCCACACTCCTTTCCTCCACCTCTCTCTCTCTCTCTCTTTCTCTTCATCCCTCCAACTTCGCTTCTCCACCTCTTTCTTCTCCCTCTTCGCCAAGAGAGAGACAGAAAAGGAGAGAGAGAGAGAGAGAGAGACAATCGAGCTGTTTCTCTTCGTTCCCACCACATCCGCTCGCTCGCCTTTCACCCGCGCTCTCTGTCACCCTCGTTTTTTTTACACGCGTGTGGCCGCGTTCGCGTATCCGTATCCGCGCGCCGAACTTGTATGGGTGGTCGAAACCGGCGGGTGAGAGGGGTGGCATCGCGAGACGGCGGCGAGAAAGGGAAAGGAACGCTGGGACAAACTGTCGGGAAGAGGGAAACGAGAGACAGAGAAGTATAGGGAAGAGTGTGGAGAAGGTAGCACCAGCGGGAAGGGGGGTGGGTAAAGAAGGAAGAAGAAAGATAGAGAGGGCGGGGAGGGATGGAGTCGGGGGTGCTGGCGAGTTAGAGGAGTGGCGTTTATAACTCGTGCCCGGGTCTCCAAGCTTTGAGAAGGCCAATTAGCAGCATAAAGCTACAGCTCGGCCCCGGGGCCGAGGATGTTTGTATGTAATAATGGATTGTTACTCAAAGTATCCGGCTAATTAATTAAGCCCCCGCGCCTCGCCGTGCAGCCACTCACCATTTTAGCCGGCCGTCCTCCTTCCCTCGGATCGCCTTTAGAACGCGTTCGTTCGTTCCTTCCTGCGAATGTGGTTGTCCGTGTTTCTCTCTCCCTCTTTCTCTCTCTCTCTCTCTCTCTCTCTCTCTCTCTCTCCCTGTTCGCGTTGCTTTTCACCCTCGCCAGGCCAAATCGGTTTGAACGATCGATCCACCCTTCTCCGTGGATCTTTGAAACGCGGCCACCTAATGCTGCGCCGGCTCGTCTATCGGCCCAACTACCCCTCGCGCCCGTATCGACACTTTTTTATCGATCGAAATCTGAATCCTTCGCAAATTTTTCTGAAACCTGTGATGTGTGAAATTAATTTTTCCAGTTGTTCTTATTACATACTGTGTATTAATAAGAGATTTTTTTAAAGTTGAACAATAGAATCGATCCATCGAAAATCGCGAACACGAGAGATATGGCGCGCAACGTCGGACGTTTCAACAAAAGTGAATCAATCGTTGCGTTGTAGACGACGCGTAGTACTCGGTCGATGGAAACGATCGGACTTGTGCAGGTTTTCAACTTTAGAACAATATAAAAATTTGTGAAAATATTCGCGGGATAACATGTTTTTGTATAAAACGAACCGTAAGAAAAATCCTGCAAACTCTGGTTCGACTTTTAGCTTGATCGGTCGAACTTGTTTACGAACGCACAATGCTGGAGAGACACGATTCACGACATCGCGGATCTATTTAACGAAACAACGTTTTCGTTTCATGTTTCAGACGGCGTTCTAGCCGAAATCACGATGACGATGGACGTGAGCAAGTCGGAGCCGAGTAAAAATGGCGCGACGCAGCACGAGTGCGCTGGATGCGGGAAAGCGATCACGGAAAGGTAAAATGTCGATTAGTTTTCAACTGTTATTCAATTATTATTATCAAAAAAAAAAAAAAAAAAAAAAAAAAAAAAAAAAGAAGAAAGACACCAAAAAGAAAATATAAACAGATAAAACACGAAAGTGTGACAGACTAACGCATCACAATCACTTAAAAAAAAGAGGAAAGAAAAAAAAAGAAGAAAAAGAATTAAAGAAATTGCGTGATTGTCAGTAAAGAGGCAAGCCTCTTCCGGAAATCGCAGCGAAAGATCACTCTAGAGCACGATAGGCTACTGGTCGGTAAGAAGGAAAACTATGGTCGGTTCTTCAGGTATCTCCTCAAGGCCATGGACCTATTCTGGCACGAGGACTGTCTGAAGTGCGGGTGCTGCGACTGTAGGTTAGGAGAGGTCGGTTCTAGTCTGTTCACCAGGGCCAATCTTATCCTCTGCAAGCGGGACTACCTCAGGCTGTTCGGCAATCCGGGACACTGCGCGGCATGCAACAAACAGATACCACCGTTCGAGATGGTTATGAAGGCCAGATCGAACGTCTATCATTTGGACTGTTTCGCCTGTCAACAGTGTACACATCGGTAAGTTGTTGCACGAAAATCTTTCCATCCACTCTCGGTTTACGCAAAATTCCGTAAAAATGTCGTCGAGCGCGTTCGATCGCTCGTTTTTTCCCGCTCGGCTCCGTGGCTTTCGTTTACGTTTCTCATCTCGTCGAGATGAACGACGACGCGCGACGAAAGGGAACAAGGGGCTGCGAAAGCGCGCATGCAAAAGTAACAAAGACAGGGAACAGACTATTGGGGGTGAAGGAATGGTACAAGGGGGTGCAGAGAAATACAGGGGACGAAAAGAAAGAAGCGAGAACGCTGGTTTGCGAGAGGCACAGTCCGCTCGGGAGTTGCTTTACAGGTCAGTTGGGAAATCACCCTGTGCTCTATCCGTCGCGCGACCTCTTCCTCCGCTTGCGCCAGCATTCCATGCAACAGCAGGAGGTCAACTTCTCGTCGTATTATTCCCTGGCTGGGTGGTTCCGTCCACCCCCTCGCCTGGTACCGGCCCCCGAGACCAGTTATGTAATTATCCAGATACTGCTGACATTTTTGTATCATATTGCTCGACGCAGGCAGGCAGGTAGGCAGACTGAGACGACGCCGACTCTCTACTGAAACGTCGAACCGGAGGTTCGTGACTTCTTTTTTTTTTTTTTTATTCTCCCGATTGCATCGAGGTTGCGGCGGCGGTGGACAAAACGAGAACAAAATTCGTAGGTCGAACGAGTCGGCGACGTTCCTTTATGAGTTTCGATCGCGGAATCACTCGGGAGGAGGTATCCATTTCGTATCGCTTCGTTTATTGTTCGCTCTCCTCTCGTCTTTCGCGATCACCACCCTTCGCCTCGTCCTCGTCCTCGTCCTCGCCGTCGACGGTCATGTTTTATTAAAGTTCCGCAATTTGGCTCAAAGCGATCTTTCTGCCTCTCTCTCCCTTCCCACCGGGGTTGATCATCCGGTCTCTGCCATCTGACGCGTAAATTACAACGAACAGAGCGGCGAGTAATTTGCCCGGATGCGAAATTTTATTGCCGTTGGTAACGAGGCTCGAGTAATTTCGCGACTTTGCCGCCCATCGTCTCTGGCGGTCCGTGCCGCGATTCACCGTGCCTTCGACGTTCGCTGCGAATTGCAAACAAAGAGAACGTACGAATGGAAGCTCGAAGTGAAAGAGAGAAAGAGAGGAAAGTCTCTCGCGAGCCACGAGACGCGCAGCAGCCGCGGCAAGAAATCGCGGCAGATAGAAACTGGAAGAGGCAGACGAAGCTGAAACGAGAACGAGATAGCGGAGATAGGGGAGAGGAAAAGAATAAGCTCTCGATGGAAGCGGGACGGTCAATGTAAAACGGTGAAACTATGGGACCGTGGCGAGACACAATGCCGGCTTATTGACGAGACGAGAAAGGTTTCGAGGGTAGCAAAAGTCGGGCTGGTCTCTAGCAGCGGTCTCTGGCTGGTATATCTCAGGCTTGGCGCGAAAGAGAGAAAGCTACGCGGGGCGAAGAGGAGCGGAGAGGTCGAGAAGAACGGCGCGCGCGAGAAACGAGAGAGAGAAGGAACGAAACGGAACAGGAGAATGTAGTTTGGAGCCAATAACAGTGGCTCGTCCAGGCGTGCGACAAACGTTGTACAGCTTCTCAAACAATGCGAACAAAAGAGCATCAATTTTACGTTTTTATCGCGTGGCATTGTCTGTCTTCGACAATGGGCCGAGCGGGCAGCGACGGAGCCGCACGCGCGCGCTCGCCGCGCTCTGCCCAAAGCAGTGTCGCGTTCATCGCGGTTCAACCGACTTCAACGGAATCAACGAAAACCTGCCATTGTCCCCGTGATTCACCCCCCCCCCCTGCCCCCTCGTGTCAGAGAGTGTGTTGCACACCAGTCGCGTTCTTGCGGTTCGTTGCGAGCTTTTTCGCTGGGAACCCTCGGTAACCAATAGCCTCCGCGATTGCTCGTTTTCGCGGTGCCATTCGTTTCGAAACGAATCGCGGGTTTCCAACCTAATTTCGATGGCAGCTTCGCAGTCCGCGGGGCCGTAGTCGTTGGAGCGATGCTCGTTCACGATAGAACGAAATACGATAATAACGGCCAAAAGTTTCGATTTGCATTTCGTTCTTAAGTTTAATGACGGCCGCTATATTGCAAAACGGCAGACACGTTCGTTTCGTGTTCACGATGCAGTGCAAACATTCTGAGCAGGGAAATCGCTATTGTTAGTGGATCTATATATTTGACGGGTGGCCAATATCCAAACTTCTGGCTAGGCGAGGTAACGCGTGTTCTCGATATTCGTGCAATTCGTAATTTCTATATCTTCGATGTCGGACGAACCATCTCGTTGTTCCTTCGTTCGATACTCCCGGTACGACGGGATATTTTAAACAAATGGCCTCCGTGTATATCCGAGAGAATGCAAGACCTACAAACTGTCTTTCACTTTAACCAAACGAGATTGCCGACGATTAGATTTCATTGGTAATTTAGCGTACCGCCAATCCCGCCAATTATTCTCGTTTGATCGAAGCCCCAAACGTTCCGTGGCCCGGATCGAAACGATTCCGGGCGTTCTCGGTTGGATTTAGATATTTCCCGGTGGTAGGGGTGGAGAAACTGTGTGTGAGCAAAAGAGAGACAGAGAGAGAGAGAGAGAGAGAGAGAGAGAGAGAGGGTGGATCGTTTCCAATTATTTCGTCGGTAAAAAACGAGCGGGTGAACTCGAGGAGGGCAATTATACGCGGGGCGCCGCGACGTGTAACGCGACGACTTAGAGTTTGCAATTAAACAGCAACAATTACACGGGGTAACTTTAGACTGTAATAACACAGAATAAAGGGTTGCCGGTGGCGGTGCCTAGCCTACCATCCTCCTGGTTAGAGGATGATTTACCGATCCAATTAGATATCTCTCTCTCTCTCTCTCTCTCTCTTTCTCTCTCTCCTCGTGCCCTGTACCAACACGCGGACAATCTACTTGCACTCGTGCGCGCGCGAGTAGAGGCAGCGTTCCACTTACGCGCGTTTGTTCGGCGGGCGCGTGAACGAATACGGGAGGAGAATACGCGTCCCCTCTCGACGTTTCTTCGATCCTCTCTCGAGAAGACGTCCGGTCAAATTTAACGACCGCCCAATTAATGCCCTCGCCTCGAACTACAAAATTGCAGCTCGCCTCGTTGGCGTCGCTAATTCGACGTTGGCCGGTTGTTCGCGTTCCGTGAATTGCGCCGTATCGAATCGCCCGATCGAGCAGCCACAGTCCCAGTTCCGAAAAATTGAAATCACCGTCGTTTCGAAAATTGTCTCGTCTCCGACGAGAACAATGATCGTAAACTACGCGTACGGAGCGGACATGTTGATACGATGTCGCGCAGAAGACGGTCCGTCTCCAACGCGTCACTGACGGTTAAATTAATACTACTAGAGACACTGAAACGGACGTGAGAGCCTGTTTTATTGAAACGTGCGTAGGTATAACCGCGGTTGAATACGATTATTAGCTAAAACTACCGTCGCCTTACGATCCTTCCACGGTCATCCGTGTGATACGCATTTCCAACCAGTTAAACTCGATGTCCGATCCTTGGATTTTACATTTGTACCCGGTATCGATTGAACCACTCCGTTGCCCGACGAAAAAGACCACAAGAAACGAGATAAAGCGAGGAAAAGGGAAGAAGATTCGAAAAACCTGTACTTATAGCATGAGCACGCCATTAATCGTGCGCGGTGCGGTTGTTCGAGCTGATACGCTTAATTTGCCTGGCAACGCCTTGCAGCTGGACGAGAGAGAGAGAGAGAGAGAGAGAGAAAGAAAGAAAGAAAGAGAGCTGTTTAATCCTCTTTTCTGCGCCGAGGAAACTCGTCCCGTCGCGCGGCAGACGCGCAAATTAAACCGGTAACGCTGGCACGGGTCCTCGGCGCGCGATCGCGACACTGCGACGCCGCGCGTATGCAAATTTTATTCAAGAAACCCGTGTGTCCCTTCAAAAGAAACAGATTCGCAGAGCGCAGCGGCGAACCGGTGAATGTTTTATTTCGCTGGGCGTTCGCTGCCGTCCGCTGTGTGCGCCGGGATCGGGACGCCCCGTGGAACGTTACAACTGCATCGAACACTGTACCGTAAAGCCGGCCGTCTAATGGGGTCACGCATTGGCACTGGTTACGTTATTTATTTACGCGATAGCTAGCTTCCGGGGCTCTGCTCGTCCGTTTCCCACCGGCAGCCGGACGTGCCCGATTTTTCTTGAATCCTCGTGCGTCCAGAGCATCCTTCTGGCTTCCGCGACTGCTCCGGCGACCCTCGTTAAACATTCAGCCGTGTAGCGATCTGAGAGACTCTTCTCCCCTCTCCTCTCCCCGATTGAAATTTTCCACGCGAGACGGACTACCAAGATCACCTCGTGTCTTTGCGTCTGGATCGCTCTATATCGATTCTCCTCTGCTCTCGGCACCGCGTGTAAGCTTAATATTTTAAGTGGTTTGTTGTTACGGTTCACCGTTGCCCCTGCTGGACTTGGCTTTGTCTCAAAGACCGTTCCCAATGCAACGTTGAAGATTTATTGAGAGGACGCGTGTCTCTTTAGCTACGATAAGCATTCTGTTATTTGGCGCTTTTATCACTTTTTCTCACTCTCTTTGACTATGTTGGGGATTTGTGATTTCTCGCTTGGTTTCGTCTCAGAGATCGACGCAACGTTGAAAATTTGCATTTGTTTGCAAAGTTTTACATTGATTTACAAATTTTGTAGTCCAAGGTTATTTGAAAGTCATGTCATAAATGTATCATAAATACGTGTCGTATAGTAATGTATTTTTTCGTGAGCTATGTGGAAGAGAGAAGAAAAAAATACGCATTTGCCAGTGGCCTCGAAAAAACATTGAAAAATGATATTTTTAAAAAGAACAGTTCTTCCAACCATCCAAAGTTACGTCAGGAACGATTTTCTTGCGACTTTTATTAATAGAGAAGATATTTTCGCGTAAGAAACCCTTCGCATATTTTCTCTTTTTTCTTCGATCGTTCGTTGAAACCCTTCGCACGCAACTAGGAGAATCAAATCGAACATTCTTACGTAACTTTACTATTGCAGAAGAGGAGGGTGTATATTTTATTCTGCCTTTTTTTCTTTCCCCCTCTTCTCAAAGATACAGACTGCTGTCACGCACAGGTTTGGCCATTTGTCGAACCGTGTCATACGCGCGGGCGTAACGTCTGTGTAATAATAACGCGGACAATTAGCAGCTAGGAGGATTAAACAGTGCGTCGAAAACGCTAGATTCTAGATGAAAGCGGAAAATCAGCGAGTGTCGCGCAGAGCGGTATTGTGCCGCGACAGACAGCTGCACCGGTCGCGAGAATTAGAGGAATGGGATTTACGCGGTATTATTCGCGCGATCATAATAGACGCTGTGGAACGAGTGTACTCATGCAACAGTATAATTCCGGGCGGGATCGTAGTTATGTGAATATCTGCTTCGATCCAGGCTCCGCGGAGGTACCCGGCTGAAAGAATGTGACGCGAATCCGTTGTCGTACTTGTCGCCTCGCATTCACGGCATATTACTACAGAAAGAGCACGTGCACGAGAATTTTAATATCGTCAAGTAGTATTCAAACTCTCTCTCGAACGGTATTGCTGACCCATAAAAGTCAAATCGACTCTCCGTATCCGTGATAGACTACGCGTTTAATCGCGTCTCGGATAGACGGAGATTTTTGATCCCGAATTTGAGCTCGAATGCAAGGAACACGATCCAGAGGATACTCGAGAGTTGCGTTTTCCCTGCAACAAATCGATCATTTGATCAGTTGACCAGGTCGTTCTTTAATCACGAACATGCACGATCGTTGGATTAGTAGCTCGTCGTGATAACAGGTCACATGAAACATTGATCTGCCACGAATCAGAAGCAGAACGGATCCAGGACACAGAGCGATCCAGATTCAAAGGCGTTGCTCGCCGTTCGGTAAATGTGATAACTGTTTGGTTACCAGACAGCCAAATTTAACTTGTCGTCCGACTTGGTAATCTCCCGGATGTACATGTTACATTTATACATTATACGTTGAAACATTATAGGATAGATTTATACATTATAGAATCTGGTTTCCTAATTTTCGCGATATCGTCGACGTTTCTAATTAAAGAACGAATTAATTAATTGATTAACCAATCTTGTCTCGACGCCGCGACGTTTACCAGTAAGCGAGGATGCGCCGGGATTAACACGAGAAGTATATGAATTAAATAGACAGCCGAATGCTTGCAGAATTTTTTCATACTTTTAGGAGCAACGTGCCGATAAATCTCGTTTTCTAGAGTAAACGTAGAGTAATCGAGGATGTCAGAATCACGTGTCCGGTCAGTAAGATTGAAAATTTCATGAAAAGAGCGAACATAATCGTACAGAAAGCGTACGAAATAAGTAGCCGAGAGGCAACACCTTGAAAGTAGGAAGTAAGCCCGCAACGAGAGACGATCTCGTGTGGCGCAAGCCAGAAACCAGCAGGTGACGATCAGCTGAATACCATGTAGAGAGGAACGCGAGGAAGAGCTATAGAAGTGACAGACAGCCCAGCGAGAGAGAGAGAGAGAGAGAGAGAGAGAGAGAGAGAGAAAGAGTGTGTGTGTGTGTGTGAGATAGAGAAAGGGAGGGGTGGTGGAGGTGGATCAGAGTACAGCGTCATTTAGCAGACGACGCGTATAATGGGGGAAACGAGCGAAACCCGGTATAAGCTGTGCTCGTCGGGAATGGCCGCGCGCAACGCGATAATTCTATTTGCCGTACGATTATGAGAGTATCTACCTCGAACCAGACTCTGCTGCTCTCGTATTTCGCTCTCGTATTTCCTACCGGGATCAAAGCGGATGTGAGACCACTCGCGGACAGAAGCCCGATAATAATTATTTGTCCGACACGTTGCGATACGCTCGTTATCCACCGCTCTCCCCCTGCCACCCTCTGTCATTGTTCCTCCCTCTTTCCCCCTTCCCACAGTTTTTATTTTTATATCTTTTTTTTTTTTGTAGTCCCTCTTTTCGTTTTTTTTGTTTCTCCTCCCTCTCTTTCTCTCTGTCTCTCGCCCCCTCCCATTGTGACGATCAACCGATTATCGACGAGCTATATACCGGCTACGCGAACGAAAGAATCGGTATACACCGCTATTTTTGTACCGACGCTTTCGATCCGCGTTTTTCTCGCCGAATAATGCCAGATTTACCTGTTGTTAATTGGTAGCAGTTGTCAAAGAGGTCACCAAAGAGAATGGCGAATAAGAGACCATAGAAATTGAGAAGACCTGCGCGAAACACGCATCAGAGAATCGGATAAATAGTTTCGTTTATTTAGCAGAATCAGACAAATTTATAAAACAACTTCAACGAATTTATGACACAAGTCCCGAGTTTCTCCACAGAATTTCCAGAAAATATAAACCTTCCTCTTTTAAAGCGGGATTTCCTGTGAACATTAACTAGTACCAACACACGCTCTGATAAAACGAAGAAACGTGTTTCTTTTTTCCTGTAACATTTGAATATCTCTGTCACTCCAAAAATCATATTCCCTAAACTAAAAGGTACAATTATTTCTGAGTACTGTCTAACCCTTCAAGTTATTATCTGATTACACTCGTAGGTTTCGGCTTGAAAGAAACAGGAAATTGCAATCTTACCAAATATGAATTTAAACTTTCAATTTTAATTCTTCCAATTGAAAGTTCATAAATAACAAATTACGTATAATGCTTTACATCTGACATAATGTAACGTATTATAAAATGTGTAACTGATATCAATTTACCAAAGGCGAAGAAGAAAATTGTAAGGTAAAGGTTAGTTGTTCAGTTGCAGCGAATGTTCGAAGCGATAGATAGAAAGCGCGTAACGTCGTAAGAGAACGCCAAAGGGAAATGGTAGATAATCGAACCACGGATTTTCTCATAAAAATGAGAATCAGCTTGCCAATATGATTGGCCGAAGTGGAGGAGTCTCTGACGCGCGGAGACGGCGCGCGTCTGACCTTTACGAGAAATTCTACTTTTAGCTGGCTGACGGATCTCGCAAACGTAACAGGTGACGAGAGCGAGAGAGAGAGAGAGAGAGAAAGCGAGAGAGAGAACGGGTGCCACCGCGCGGGAGATCTCGCGAGAGATCGTGGTCTGATTGCGAGTGAGAGATTGGCGACGCCTATATAACACAGTAGCACTGTGGTTTTATCATTGCAGGTTTTGCGTGGGCGATCGGTTCTATCTGTGCGAGAACAAAATCCTGTGCGAGTTCGACTACGAGGAGAGGCTCGCGTTCGCCAATATGTCAGTACAAACACCGGCCACGCTGGCGTACATCAAAAGGCAACTGCCGCCAGCGCCGACGCCGCCTGGCCAGAACATGCATCCGGGTCACAATCCGCTGCAACCTCATCAGGGACTTGGCCAGTCGGTGGGTCAACATAATCATGTGTCGAACGTAAGTTAAGAGAGGATCGGTTACCGTTTGAAGCACGGGTTGTTTCACGCACGCGTGCGTAAAAGCATCGACGCCTTAGTCGTTCGTATGTCAGCGGCCAGGCCTGACGACAGGCGGAGAGGTCGGCCATGTTTTAATTGGAAACGCTGCACGCCGGAAGCTTTCGTCGCGCGATCGGTCTCGTTCCCTGACCCGAGGGACCAGCGAACGTACGATCCGTGCTTTGCTCCGATATCCTTTCTGTCCAGTTTGTTGTTTTTCGACTTTGTGCTCGTCGTGGCAAACGGGAGGACGACGCGCGAAATTCCCGTGCTTTCGATCGTCTTTACGGTTCTCAGATAACGGGTCCTTTTTTTTTTTTTTTTCTTTGGAAATTTTTCTTTTCGAAACTGCGATGAGTTTTACACGCGAAAGATTGTACGGAAGATGTAGTGCGAAAGGGACGAAAAGCAAAAGTATGAATTGATAGAAATTCTGCAGTTATTTTAGAAAAATATACACATGTCATGTCATGTATATTTTTATTTTGTGTTTTTGTAAAACAGTTAAATTTCTATTCTTTCTATTGGCTAATTAATTGTCCAGCTACGAATAGTAAATTATTTTCATACCCTATCTGTTTTACATAATTACAGCGTTTGTGATAACATTTGCAGAGTATAATAATGTTTCATCAAACTTCTAATTTTTCTACATTCCATTAATAAAAAATTTAAATCCAGCCTGACAACTTAATTTCAAATCCATCGCTTTGATCGACACAACGATCAATCCAATTTATAGCACGAAAGCCAAGAGAAGATTAACGTCCTTGGTTCTCACCGGAAACGATCATTTTGTAACGCAGGGACAGATGTCGGGGAGCACGCCGATGGTGAACGGGACAGCCATAGGCGTCGGTGGACCCAGAGCACCGGGTGACATGAACAACAACGGGCTATCGGGGCCAGCCCTCGGACCGGTGAAGCCACCGCCGATGTCTATGCAAGCTCCGACCAGCTGAAACGAGGTGTCACCCCCCCTGAAGAAGCTCAGATGTCTCAGCGGTTATTGAGGCTATTGACGCTGACCGACGAGACGAACGGGAGACACGGATAGGACGGAGAGATATACGGACGGAGAGATTAAAACGTCGTGACGAAAGTGAACGCGAGAAACCTGAGTGATAGACAGAGAAGGAGAGAGCGAGAGCGAGAGAGAGAGAGACGGATGCGGAGGGGGGAGGGTTGGGAGAAAACGGAGGTCGTTCGTGGCGAGAAACAGAAACGGGAGGAGAAACGAGAGAGGACGATGTTCGCGAAGCATCTCGAGGATACTTCGAATATCGGACGATCGGATGCTTCCGTTTCTCTCCTCGGGCAAGAATTCTCGCTCGGAGGTGGGGGAGTAATCACTGTGATCGCGAATTATATGAATAAATTTATGGAAATGGCTAACGGATAGAAACTGCACACGGGGACGTCGTGTGGACATCGTGATGACCGCGTACAGCGTCTTGTAATATACGGTACAACACGTAACACGATAAAGAATAGACGATTTATGTAAGATACGTTTCTAGCGCGGTGAGGAACGATTAGAGGCGCGTGAAGCGAAAGGGTGCAAGGTGTGACAGAGTGAGAGAGAGAGAGAGAGAGAGCTGGAGCGAATGGCGCAGAGTTATCCTGTAAATATCTGTATCTGTCGACTCTGCAATTACCGAAAGACTATCAGTATACGCAGACCAATCGATGAATAATTTTCACGGTTTCCTCGCGATTCGTCGGGATTCGACGTTCGAACGGCCGATCCGAGAAGACGAGTTCCCGGCAGAGTGGTGGAAGGGAGTCGTCGTCATAGATTTGTTCGTAAGTTACTGTTTGTTGTTTCTTTGTTTCTTTTTTCATTTTTTATTTTTTTGTTTCAATCTTGTCGTCGGCTCTAGTCCGTGATCCGACTTGGCAGAACGAAACGGCCAAAGTTGCAACCGAGAGACACAGCGCCGTTCTGTTCGAGCAAAATCTGGATGTGGCGCGAATGCGACGAATCCCGAGACGAATTTCCCCCAAAATCTCGGTATACGAGGCGCGAGCAAGGGCGTACACGATGGCTGATACCAAAGATTAACGATGTAAGTTTCGATGCCCCTCGGGAGAGCGAGTCAACGTCTCGAATTCCGAATATTCCTCGCTCGGTGATAATGTAGCCGCGACGGTTTGCACGGCGGCTTCGCCGAGCATCGCGAATGAATGCGCGTTTAACGCGGCCTGCGATCGAGAGCTTGCGAGACCGGGGGGCTTAGTCGCGGCTTTACGCTTTAACGCCAAAAGACGAGCGGAAAAACGGTCCGGGCGATGAGAAAAAAAAAAAAAAAAACAAAAAGGAGCGAAGATGGAAGGAAGCTGAGGAGGAGCAGGAGAAGAAACAAGAGGGAGAATCAGGTAAAACGGCGAACATCGATATCAAAATATGGCTGAAAATCCGATAACCGTTGCGTGCGCTGATAAACGATCCGTTTTGAATCACCGAAACGCGCCACGATCGCGATTCGGCTGACCCCGTGTGTGTTTCCACGGACGACGAGTTTCATCGCCCCTCTGTTGAACAGACTCGGATGGGACGTCAACAGTCGACGACGATCGTTCGATCAGAACGGGTCACGCGGGTCGATCCGAAGAGTCGCGCTGATTCCACACAGGACACAACAATTCGAAACCACCAGATCGATTAAGTACAAAGAGAGGTTACGGCGAGGAGAATGTGCTGCGAAGCGGGCGTAAGGAGCAGAACAACTCGCGGGAGCGAAGAGGACGTAGGGTGAAGTAAGGACGAATACCTACACGAGTGTTACGCGCTCCGATACGCGCGACGCGAGCCGAACACACTTTCCTCTCGTTTTTCTTTCTTTCTCTCTTTCTTTTCTTCTTCTTTTTTCTTCTTCATCCATCTGTATATAAATATCATTTATTAGCGCACTATTAATATATTTACCGCCTCTGTAGGGGCTCCTATTACTACCGAGAAAATATAACATTCTTATAAATACAAGCAAGCAGTGAGTTTCAAGCGTGTCTTCATTTCTCGTTTCTTTCCAGGAGCGGCCAGTTTCTTAGAACGCCGAGCATTATACACAACGCCCGGTCCTCCTGTTTACTCCTCTATTTATGGCCTTTTCCACGCGCGACGTTCGCTTCATCCCTCTCCTCCTGTCCAATCTGTTTCTCTTCGACGAGAAATCGCGGCACGCCGTGAGAAGAAATCCACTGATTTGTGCGGGCCGTATTGTCCGCGCGATATACAGCAAGGCAAAGGCGGCCAGGAGGCGAGAGACGGGACAGAGCCGAGGGTTGGGATGGCTGGAACGAAGGAAAGGGGTGAGAGTGAAACAGGCAAGGGGGAGGCAACGCGATTTCCCTAATGCCTTCCAGCCCACGGAGTTGAATGTTATTATGCACGGTGAAGACTTTATAATAGGACGTTGAAACTCTTTAAAACTCGCGGAGAGCGGATCCTCTAGCCCCCGCCGCTTCGTTGCGCTGTCCCTCGTTGGGCAAAAGGGCTCGTCACTTCTCCGACACTCGAACGATTTTCCTCGTTACACTCAAAAATTGAGAGGCACGGCCCGCGCCGTTCGCCGCCTTAGAGTTCGACGAACCTCGAAACGATTTCTTTCTATCGGGCGAATCGCGTGGATCATCTTCCATCGCTGTCCGAGCATTGGCATATCTTTTTCACACGAAGAAAACATTGTTTTTCCCTTCTGTGCATATGTTATTTTTATCAACTTTGGTAACAGCGTGTAGAAAATATTCTCCTTCGCAAGTATTATTTAACACACGTGATATTACGTTACGTTTTTAATTAACGAGATACCTGCGGACGTTTTCGTTGCAAGTTATGTTAGTGAGAAACGAACACGAAGTTTCTCCTATGAAAAAAAAAAAAAGGAAAAAACGGGAAAAGAAACAAATTTTACATGTTTAAAAACGTAGTTAAACAGCAAAACCCTGAGAGCCCAATGAGACGATTTGCATCGCAATCTCTCGCGTCGAATTAATCGATCAGCTCATAAGCAGAAGGTGACACGAGTCGCCGATCGTCGGTGACGCTTTCCGGCCAGCCTCAACACCCCTCCTCACCCGCTTTTGTCGCTTGATCGCATTAATCACGCGGCCGCGCGGTGGGTAACCACCGCTTGGTGGTAGGAGAAAGAAAAACAGAACCCCTTAAAATAATCTGGCCCGAAATGAAATCAGCCAAGGCAATTTCCAGCCCCTGGTAGCCAACGGTGATGTTAACAGCGCCGGCGGTTTTATCCATCCACTCTCTCCGGTGCCATCCCTGATTCGAGCGCGGTGCAACCGACAAATGACGACGCGGCAACCCCCTCGCGGCGGCCCACGGAATTAAAGATCCCGAGATAAGAGTGTCATCCTTCGCTATGCATTATGTGTTCGGCAAAAAGCTCTGGGTCCACCCTCCCCCTCTCCCCGAGCTATCCTAACGCTCTGCGTCGTCTCGTTCTCGCTCGGTTTCGCGCATCTTCTCACTGTTCCCCCTTCCCCTCCCCCTCTTTTCCCTGCCACCGTCTTTTTCTATCTCCTCTCAATTTCCTCTCTGTCCGTTCTCTCTTCCTTTCTCTTACCGAGCTTCGTCTTTCCTCTTCACTCCTCTTCCACGTTCGTCGACTCTGTTTCGCCCGAAGAAGATTCCAATTAATCTCCCTCGTACTTTTTCCACTCCCCACTTGCCGCCCGCGATGTTACGCGATGTGAAAGTTTCGCTTTATTCCACCGCAACAGCAACTCTCGTCGGCGGGAACCACGTTTCACCACGTTGGGCACGACGTATCGGTAAGTTTCGATCGAATTATCAACGTTCAGCAAAGCCGATTTGCGCGCATCGACTGCCGAGTATCAATGTGTCGCGTGACGCAGCAGGATCGAGCGGCGAGATTACCCGTAAGTGTCGGAGATTTCTCGGCTGGATGAAGCACGTTTTCATTTTCTTCACAGGCGAGTTCTTGAGGTTGTCAAATTTGCGACGTTCCGTAGACAAAAGAGGAAGAGAGACTAGAGGCACGATCATTAATAGAGCGCGAAATTCGATGGTTATGCGCTGACTAGGTCTCGTGATCAGTAGCGAGGTAACAAATATTTCTCGTCAGCGACTTTGTCATCGCGGTTGGATCTGTCTATCGCGAACGACGCCGAGCGAAACTCAGCCACCATTCGTTTCGCCATTCCGATAGCCAACGATTCGTCCTCTTTCTTGCCCGTTTAGCGACCCTGTACAGCCCCGATAACGGGTATCGATGCACTCGAACAATCCCTCCTATCTCGGCCAAGTGTGTTTTTATTTCCTGTTAATTGATTTTTTACACTCCGATACACCCTGACGAGGCTGCTCCTTTATGATGCGCCGCGCGTTTTGTCGCGTATCCATGGAAATGGTCCCGCAGCATCGGCAGCTACGATATTAACGGGGTTGATACCAAGAGGGAAAAGGGTTCGAGACTAATTGAAATCGCGATGTTCCCGTACTTTGGTCGCGACGTGCTTTCTTTCCTCTTTGTTTCTTTTTTCTTTTTCTCTTCCTCGCAACAGCCAGGGATGAAAAAAAAGACGAAGGATGAGGGGAAGGATAAAGAGAGATAGAAATCGGAGCTGTTCGCGCGCGAGGGTGAGAGTTCAGCGACTTCTTTTCTTGCCGGGACAAGCAAACTGGCTAGTCCACTTTCATACACGGGAACATATAAAATCCCTTTTCACGAAACACCCCTCGTAAACTTTCCTTCTTACGCGTTCCGCTATCTTCGTATCGCCATTCAGCTTCCCTGTCCCTGTGCCGAAAACTCGCACGCGTCCGCGCGTGCACGTTCGCGTTACACGTGCGCGAGTGTGTACGTGACGTTACCACCGACACGGTTGCGAACGTTGGCGAAGTAGATTTTTCCGCACCTCGATATGATTAATATCCCTGCGAGATAGGAGGGTGTCGGTGGGGTGAACGAAGATAGAGGGGGTGGAAAAGTTGAAGGTAAACTGGAACGAAGAAAGAAGTCGGAACGGAAGTAGGGAGGAAAGAAAGAAAGAAAGAAAGAAAAAAAAGAGAGAAAAAGAAAGAGAGAGAGAGAGTGAGAGAGGGTGGGAGCAGAAGGAAGAAACGAGGGGGAAAAAAAAGAGAAGGATGACGGAGGGTGAAGGTAGCCGAGGTAAAAGGGAACGGTTATGGGCCTGGTGGTCGCTTGCCGTACAGCAAATCCCCGTCAACCGCATTCAATTACGATGTTATCGCGAATACAGATGACGGTTATTTCCTTCGGTACACCCTATACGTAACGTTCGCGATGCGGCGCGACGCAGGGCGACGCCAACGTCGCTTCTCCGTCCAAAGTTAAGGCAGTATATCGTGTAATGGTGGGTTGGCCGGTCGCCTGTGTGATTGCTTTAGGATGCGCGCCGACAATACACCGGGATAAAGCGACTCCGATTTCGACCAACGACAGTTACGCGCGCCATCCTTCCTCGCCCCCGACTCCCGTTCACCCGATATTACCTCGTTATTCCTCCTCTGGTCACCCTTTCCCAACGAATTTCCACTTTGTTCCCATTCGATTCTTTCATCGTCATTTTTTTTTCGTCAGACAAGGAGATTTTGCAGACAATACGAAAACGCGAATGATTGAAACTTTCGACGCGCGATCGATCGTTGATCGCACGAGCCGAGCGAGTCGATCAACCGGAAGCTGCTGAGGATCCACTGCTCGGAAGAATGGGAGGCGAATCGTGGCGCGAGTCGTGGCAGCCGACCTCCTTCGGAACCGCGTACCGCGTCACTTTTCGGTACACGGTTTGTCGAGCACGACGACACCGAGGGCCACCCTCCGCGTTTTCGAGCGATAAAACCTGAAATACGAGCGCGCATGCCGGTCGAACTTCTATTCGCCTCGAACCGAGAAAGGATGTCCGGATCATAACACGGCGCGCTCCCGTGCGCCCCGTTGCTTCCGTGAGTTACTTTGCACGCCGCTTTCAAAAGGAATCAACCCAGCCTCGCCATCTTGCCGGCTCTTCATTCTTCAACCCTCTCCTCTCTAAAGGTAGAGTTTCCCATTGGCGATCATCAAACGCGTATGCATGCGTGTATCCGTAGCGAATGCAACGTTTGAGAATCCTGGAGATTCTTCGTTTGATCAACAAAATCTCTCGCCGTGTCAAAAATCGTCGTCTGAGCTGAAAGAGATAAATCGTAATGTCGCCTTTAGCAAAAGCAAAATGAATGACAGGAGAGAGCAAACGAGACACAATCGGGGTAAATGATTTAGCTGCTGATCGCGTTTGGTGGCTGTCGCGTTGCTCTGAACTCTTCCTCAGCCACGAACGATCCGCTTATTTTATCGGTTACGGGTGAACGGTGGCGAGAACGCGGTTAAGACGTCGTTCTCGAGTCACGGTTCTGTTCACGGCTGCCACCGTGGCGCCTCTAGCCTCCTTCTTCCTCTTCTTGCTCGCAACCCCCGCTAAATATACGCTTATACATTATTCGCCAGTTACGTCGCGGCGGCGAGCAAATAATTCGGCCGCGGGCACCACGGAAGATCAATAAATTGTATTACATAAATAACGATCGCGCGTGGCGTCGATGTTATCCCGCAATACGTTAGAATGAACTATCTTGCGCCGAATTGCGGATGATACCCGTGATCTGTGGCGCCTGACTCGGCCAACTGCCTCCGTTGCCAGGAATTATAGTACACCGACACTCTTCCGTGCCTAGAGACGATTCTCGATATTTTTCTTCGCGTCGTTAGACTTTTGTGATTCGAATTTACGATATACGACACGCGCGTATGGTGTTAATTACACGCAGAAACAAAAATTTAGGAAAGTTTTTTTTCATTTGAAGTTGTTTGTGTTAAACGTCTTCTTAAAGCATTATAAATTCTCTTTGTTTCTTGCAAGATGAGAAAGGTTAAACGAAAAAAATTTTATTCTACAAATATATAGGGTGGTGCAAAGGGGTATAGGGCAATTTTTAGGAGAAGA